AAGAGTGCCAACACAGTGGGACCTGATACCCGGCTCTGGTCACCTCCCTAAATATACCCCCATACTTGCCATCTCTTCGTCCAGAAAGGCAGACGCCCAGGGTTACCTAATTGGCCACTGGAAATGTACTACACAATGTTAAATAGAAAAACAACAAAGGCTCTCTGTTCTCTCCCCACCCTCCTATAAATGTTAAAAAGAAATAACAAAGTTTTAAAGGAGTTGGACTCAATTTCTTATTGGATTTGAATGTTATTTATTTATTTATTTATGGAACTGGGGATTGAATCCAGAACCTCGCACATGATTAAGCAGAGGCTCCACCACTGAGCTACACCCCCCAAGACCCTCAAAGGAACTTTTCATGGAACTTTCCATAAAGATGCTTTCTAATTAGTTGGGGAGTAGGGTAGTGAGGGAAACTGCAATGCGTATGTGAGAAATAAATTTCCCAACAGTGATGTTCTTGATGGTTTTCAAACTCCCCAGGGTGGTTCTCAAGTGTTGATAAACTGGCCTTTCTCAGTAAAGGGTGGAGCTCCTGGTACCCACCCTTATCAGTGGTACCCAGAGCCTCTAAGGACTGGGGTGACTCCCTGTGTGGGTGAGGGACAGAATAGATAGAGGCGGCAGGCCACAGTGTGGCAGGAATGCTGTGAGAGGAGCTGGCAGAAAGGGATTGGGAGCACAGCTTCAGTTGGATACGCAACTGGAGAATCATTGTCTTCCATGCAGCGAATGTGGAAATTGAAGACAGTGTGTAGGAAGCCCCAGAGATCTAGTTGCTACGGCAACTAGGGGTCCTCTTCTTGGCCATGGGTATTAGACCCTGGTTAAATAATAATAAGGCCCTAATTTTACAGGGTAGAAGCAAGATCAGTAACACTCTATGACTCTGGGGAAGAAGTTTAGCAAAAGGCTTTAGTTGAGAAGAAGGAAATCGGTGGTGGAAAGGTCAGCTGTCATTTATTGAGCACCTACTGTGTGTCAGAAGTAGTGCTAGGTATTTTCACATTAGATTCTCACAATACTTGGAGAGGTAGGTAAAGCTGCTTTCATATTCCTGATGTGGACACCAAAGCTGAGAAAAATAATTTCTCTTATCAAAACATACACAGCTCAATTGCAGATCGGTTAACATCAAGTATTTTTAGAAGCTGACAAGCAACTTGTGTTGTTGCATTTAGTTCCAGGTTTGAGTTGATCCTATAGGTGGGTTATAAAAGGAGGGCCATTGCCATGGGGCTGAGGAACCAGGATGCCCTTCTTTGAAACTCTGAGTCTGCCCCAAATCTCAGCTCTGCTGTCCCTTTGGAGAAGAGTCACCTTGCATACCTGGCTGGCTACTGTTTAAATCAGCCTGCTCCTTACCACCTCCCCTGCCAAAGTATCCTGGCGGGGGGGGGGGGCGCAGAATCATCTGAGAACCCTACTTGCTTAGGATTCTTTGTTCCAGGCTTGGACACACACACACACACACACACACACACACACACACACACACACACACACACACACACACACACACACACACACACACACAAATAAAGCCCAACAGTTTTTTATGGAAAAGCAGAGTGATTCAGCCATATAGGGATTCATCAACCATCCCAGGTTCCCGCCATCCTGGTGACAACCTCATCAAACCAGAAGGAAGCCAGAAGTTTTAAGTGTTGCCCAGTGAGTTTCTTCCCTTTTTCTTCCCTACACGGCCCCCTCCTGACAAAGCTTAAAGCAGGTTAGAGGACAGAGCGCCACAGCTGAAGCCTCCAGCACATCATTACGCCTGCGTGCTGAGGGAGCTGCAGAGAGGCAGTTGGTATGGTATTTAGCAAGCTTGGAAAAATCCTGCAGAGTCCACGAAGCTGTAGGATAGAACAAGGGGCCTGGTGTGTCTTTGTTGCGAACCTCTAGCTTTTTCTTTAGCTGGTCAATTCTGTTCTGTTGTTCTGATGTGATTTTGGTGACTCTCATTGGTAGATCCACTGAGCACACTTAATACCTGCATTGAAAAGTGCAGCCTTGAAGTATGGGGTGGGGGGAGGAGATGGAGAAGAAATAGGGTGATTATTGGTGTCTGAAGGTATGGTAGTGATGGGTTGAGGGGGCAGTCCGTTATGGGGAAAATATAATGGTTTATCTTTCTGAATCCCCAGGGTCCAAAGAGAAACTTCAAATTCATTTAATTTATCTAGTGCTCCTATTTGCCATATCAATTGGTGAGTTATCTTCCTCTGCTATTCTGAAGTCTCTCTAGCAAAGAATCACTCCTTTCTGAATAATGAGTTCTGTTAAGTCCTATATTCCTTATAGCTAGAAAATTCTTCCCATTCAGTCTAAATCTTTTCTATATCAATTCAATTCTTAGACATAGTTTCCTTATGACTGGCATAAATGGCTGGTGTGCCATCTTTCAAACATCAGCTAGCAAGTGTTGGGACTGGTGCTGCCCCACACTGTGCTGGTCACTTAAGGGAGTGGTCGGGAAACGCCAGGAGGAAGGAACTGGAATAAAGAGCCTAATAGCCAAGCTGCTTCTGCTGGTGTGTAGCTGATAAAAGTCCTGCTGCCAGCGACTTTACCTGGGAGAGGGCACCATGTAATTAAGTCTACTCTGGGGGTCCCAGCTCTAGTGCTGGGGAAGTGTTCCTCTTAAGGGCTATATTCTTTAGCCTTCTATTCTTTCATGTTGATCATCTCATTCCTTCAATCTCAGGCCTTCCTGAGCAACAAGTCTACAGTTGTCTCATTTCTTCTCCTCTTGGGCCTTTCTTGACATATCTAAGTTTCAGTGCCTCAGCCTGAATGCGGCTAAGGTCATGGCTAATGTCAAGGATTCTTGGCAGTCCTGTGTACTAATGTCTTTTGATAATACGTCTTTCCCATTACATTCATAGTGCTATGGGTTGTCTTCAGCTTCTGGTCCATTGTGACTACCTCATATTTTTCTTTGTGATTATATATCATCTATACCATTGTATAAAATTTTTAAAAATTGGTTTTGGGAGTTAGAAGAACTGGGTACCAAAACTGGACAGGGCATTTTTTGCTATTGAACTTTAAATATTTTGCTTTTAGGATTTCAGTTTGTCTGACCTTTAAGACAGATACTCTGTATATAAGGAGCTCTCAAAACTCAATAATATGAAAGCAAACAATCTAATTAAAAAATAGGCCAAAGAATACACACATACATCACTGAAGAAAATATATGGATGGCAGGCAAATGAGCATCTGAAAAGATGTTACTAATTGTTAGGGAAATGTGGGTTAGAACCACAGTGAGATACTTCTATGTATCTGTTAGGATGTCTAAATTAAGATTGACCATACCAAGTGTTGACAAGGATATAAACCAGCTAGTAGGAAGCAGGGATGCATTACCAAGAGGCATGAAGAAACTGGAGGTGACTGATGTGTTTATATCAATTGTGGTGATGGTTTCACGGAAGTATATGTATATTAAAATAGCAAACTGTGAATCTTAAATATGCAACTCATAAAGTCAGTTGTATCTCAAATAGTTGAAAAATTTTCAGTTCATTGTGTAAGTCCATTGCATTTGTATTTTTGAAAGTATTATACGTGTTATTCATTTTCCATTTGAGTAGGGCACTTTCTCTCACACTAAATATTAATGTTGGAACAGTGCTTTAGAATCCCTTGAGATATTCTCCAGGGCTGGAATCAGGGCTGTTCCAGTAACCATAATTTATTAATGGAAACTCTCTGTATAGAGGATTTTAGCAAATTTGGGAGGCAGTTTTAAGAGGCATGGGGCGAGTGTTTTAGCAATGTGTTCAAGGGGGGAGAATGAGCTCCAGTGACTGCCCCCTCTAGACCAACATCTGCTGTTTGGTATAAAAAGTGGGCATTTTCCATCTCCTTGCAGAGCTTGCCTGTCCTCAAGTTCAATCTCCAACAGTGTTAAGGGCTGAAGACCCAGAGAATTCTGATGTTGCTGTCTTCAAATCATTTTTTTTTCCTCCAAAAAGCAAGGAGTTAATTGTATTAGTACACTTCAGATTGATCTTTTTGGCTACATCCTAACTTTTCTTGATCTTTATTTATCTCACTTCTTTGGGACACCCCACCCCCGCCCCCATTGCAACATGGCTCTAAAGAACACCTTATTTTGTAACACAGGCTCAGGGTTTTTTCTAATTTTCAGGGGCACCTGCCATACCATCTATCTCTTCCTAGCACTGAGTGAACTTTTTAGGAAGTGGAACAATTTGGGATTTGGGGTCAATTTGCCTGTGAGCCAGTAGGAGCCACCCTTTACCAGTGGTCACCTTGGTCCTGACTCTCTGGGCTGTTTCTTCATCCATGCAACCATAATAGTATTGTCTATCTTTCTGGTGCCTGTGAGGGTTAAATGAGATAATGTCCAGCAGCTAATAGGTGCTCATGCCTTTATTCCTCACAGACACACAGCTATACTGTACCATCAGTCAGGCAGCAGAGTGGGGGAAAGAGTATTGGTATTGCATCTCCACTGTTATTTGCGGGCAGGCCCATGATACAGAACATCTATGACTTGAACAAGCAATAAATACTGTGAGGGGCCCTGACACCTGACATGGCTTTTGCTGATCATTTCTCCCAGTTCAGGTTGAGCCTGCTTTCAACAATCCCTGATGTCACCCCTAAGACTTTGCCAGCCCCTGACATGCTTTGCACACCCACCCCTGAAATGACCTCAGAAATGGTGGGATGGTCCCAGAGCAGAAAACTGGGAACGTGCTCCGCGGACCACAGCCCTGGGTGGTATTTCGGAAACACCCTCGCACTGGAGGAGTGAGGCGGTAGTAACAGATCTGCCTCTTGCTCCTCAGCTTCATTTCGCGTGGCGGCTCTCCCGCAGAATCTGGAATAGGGTGATTAACCGGTATCTCAGGACACGATGTAAGAGCTCAAAACATGCAAATTGGTTGTGGGGCATAAATAGACTTTGCTGAGCTCACCCTGGCCGTCTCTGCAGGCTCCGGGGCCCATTCACTAGGGCAGCCGGGGTAGCAGGAGGCAGGGCGGGAGCGCCATGCAGCTTGGAGCTCCTCACCTCCATTGGACGTGTGTGCCTCCCTTCTGCAGCAGCAGGACGCTCGCTCTGCGCCCGCCGGGGCCGGCCGGCACCTGCAGCTCGGGCCGCACCCCCACCCGCACCCTTCACGCACCCCCTCCGCTGAGCTTGGCAGCAGGTGCCTTCTCTTGGGAGATCGCTTCGCATTAACTTTCCCATCTGACATAATAATAATGGAGAGAAAATGAAGAGATCCCATTAGCGGCTGGCTGGCAGGCGGGCGGCCGGGAAAGCGAGGAGCGAGCGCAGGGTCCCCGCGCGCCGGAGCGGAGCGGAGCGGAGGGAGCCTGTATTTTTAGCCAGATGCCGCGGAACTTGCTGGCGCTCCCCGCGCCGCCCAGCAGATAACGGGGGAGGGGGAGCTCGGATTTCAGCGCGGGCGCCGGACGATGGCAGCGAGACAGGGCAGGTCCGGGCCAGACCCTGCGGTGAGTGGACGAGCTGCTGGCGGCCGCTCCGGCCGGGCGCGGGGTGGCGCGGGGCCGCCGCTGTGCGGGGTGCGGGCCTCAGCGCCCCTAGTTCGGGCTGCGGCTGCCCGCCGGCGCCCGGCGCCAACTTTCCCGGGCGGGTGCGGGGACGCGCGCTGGGCTGCCCTTCTGCTGCCTCATGCCGGGCGCCGAGGCTTCTAGCAGGATCCAGAGGAAAATTCCTTTGGCCTGGAGGCCGCGGCCGCCAAGGGGCTGGTGCCGGGAGGCGGCGCGACCTGTGGCCGGCGGGGGCGAGGTGCCACGCGCGGGAGCTCGGAGTCGCCGCGGGGATTCCCCGAGGGGCGCGTCGAACGCTCGCAGAGACCGGGTCCCCTCACCCTGGGGAGGAGAGTCCAGCCCAGTGGGTACAGCTATGGGGGATGCCACAACCTCGGTCCTGGCTGGAGCAGCTGCGCCTAGCCGGCGGCCTGACCAGAAACCTTAGAAACGCCGGTTGTCCCGCGGTCCCTGGGAAGCGGGAAAAGAATGGGGGCGAAGGGAAGCAGACCTGTTGTGCGCCAGAGCCCAGCTGTGGATTATCCTCATTTTAGATCTGGGGAAATTGAGGTTGGCCAACTTGGACGAGGCTCACAGCATCAAGAATTCACAGGCAGGGTGCTCCACGCCGGGCTCACCCTGGCTTTTCACAGACCACCCCAAGTAAGACACAGCCGGTGAGGCACCATGCTGATGGCAGAGAGTGGATAGGGATCTTCGCAAGGCCCCGCATGCATTTGTGTTGGGGGTGGAAAGGGAACCCAGGGCTCTGGTTTGTACATCTTGTTGCTTTAGTGACACCTCTCATTTGTTCATTTCATCTTTGCCGATGGTAGTCAGATTAAGGTGCTGGAGACAGTTTGTGAAGCAGGAATAGCCCAACTTTCTGGAAAGAAACCTAATGGAAAGATGCACGGTGCGGTGGCCCAGAGTTCACTTCTGTTTCTGCAGAGTCAAAGGCAAGGGCCACGCAGATACTCAGGCTGGAGCTGTCTTTTCTGTGAGGACTTACCTGGACCTGGAAGAACAGACCTAGGGCCCTCACCACCACCACCACCAGTATCACCATCACCCCCCCACACACGGAGTGTCACATAGGGAATGCAGCCTGTCTCAGTCACCTGACTGAGCTGCAGTTCCCCCAGAAAACCATCAAGACTGTCTTTCCCCTAGTTTTGACAATGGCTGTGTCCAAGAGCATTCTGCCCAAACAAGATGCTTTGGGAAAGAGAGATTGCCATGTTGCTTTCTGTTTACAGACACTTGTTATTGGATTGGTTTTCCATTCATCATTTTGGAAGGAAACTGTGTCCTCAAAACCTTGAGACAGAGTTGCAAATCTGTGCTAGGGAAAACTTGGGCCCCCTCAAGCCCCAAAGAAGGTATAAAGAGACCTGAGATCCTCTTACTCTGTCTGAAATTAAACTTTGCCTGGCCTCTGGTGGTTTGGAAGGCTGCACTGCTCATGTGATGGAAACATGCTGACATTCAGCCACATGCTTCCGGCTCCTCCCTCCCAGGATACTGGAGGCCCCTCCACTACCCATTTATCACTATAATAGTATCACTCTACTCAGGAAGTAGGAGTTTAATAATAGTCTGGGTGTCTCAGGTAACCAGGGTTCACCCCCTTTCAGAGCAGCCCTGATGAGAACTTGAGTTCCAGGAGGAATTCCAATCTCTTCCTTCCTCTTCCATTTCCTTCCTCCTGAAAGCAGGCGGAAGGCTTCCTCTAGCCAAAGCTGAACTTGAGAGGAACTTTATGAGCCTTCAAAAGTGACAGCACAGTGGTTAAAAGAAAGACCTTAGAGATACACTACCTAGATCCAAACCTGGCCAATTAACGGTGGGACTTTGAGCAAATTGCTTGATTTTTCTATAACCTCATCTGTGAAAAAGGAGATAATAAAAATACCTGCCTCATGGGATTCTTGGGGGCGGGGGGGAACAAACAAATGATCTTATTTAGAGTACTGAAAACATAGTAAGAACTTTATAAAAGTAAACTTACTTTTTTTTGAAAGAAAGTTCAAGGATATCACATGGACTGACCTGCAGGGATGTGGCCCAGGGGTGAAACAAAATGTACGTTGTGGAACCTCTCCATTCCTCCAAAACACACATGCACACACGTGTAATTAAATTAAAATGGAGCTCAAGATCAAGAAGGGACAGAGACACAAGAGAGCAGCCTTGGTGGGGTGCCCAGGGATGTGAGCACCTTGAAGGCACCCATCTAGGTCTTATGGGAGTTGTGGGCCTACTGATGGGTACACAACAGCAGGCCCTTTTGGGTTCTCTAGTTTCTTTCCACGTAATAGCTTTCTTGAAGCTGCCTAGAAGGGGATGGATAGGACTCAGAGAGGGCCAGCAACTTCTCTCCAACTTACCATAGCCTAGAGAATGTCTGGTTAGTATTTTGTTGTTGTTTTCCTGATTAGTATTTACTCAGATAAATGTTTTTAATGGAACTTATTGGATTCTTCTGAATCTCTTCCCACCCTGTTAGAGACATAGCGTCTTCCTGGGTGCACAGAACACGAAAGCATAGGCAATTAAATTGGAGCAGTTGAACTAAATGGGTGATAGGGGCTCAGAAGCACAAGATGGTAAACACCAGTCTCATAGACCAACTGGGACCATTTGCTCTGTAGTTTGTAAATTACCTGGCATCTTGAAGGTACTAGTGAATACTTGTGAAATGAATCCATAGATGCCTGTGTGCATGAATGACCCCTTTATAACTCAGCCGCTTTACTTTTCAAATCATGAAGACGAGGACTTACATTCTGATTTTTCATTCTCTCTCTTTACCTTAGCAGGATACTGGACTTGAAATAGGGTCTCAATAAATACATTGTAGAATTAAACTGAGCGACGCCAGTGGGAGGGACATCATTATTTGAAATTCACCTCTAAGAGACCCTGATGATCTTGCTTATGTCCTGCCTACTCACTGCCCATAGAAACCCACCCCCCCCAAACAAACAAAAAACAAAAAAACCTGACAAAGCCTTAATGAGTGAACTTCATTTCTAGGCAACCTGAGTCACGTCACTTCTCTGGGTCTCGATTTTATCGTCAGGAAACAGATTTGTAGAACTAGATGACTCCTTTCTAGAGAACTGTGTTGGCCTTAATACAGTGCTTAGTGTGGGACCTTCTGGACCTGTCCAGAAACTTCCTTTTCCATGGATAAACTCTAGTCCTCGCCTAGCTCCTACATCTGTCAGGGCTGTCTGAAAGGACACTCTCAGGCTTCTATGGCTGAGAATGGCCCATGGTGTCATGGACTTTGGTCAGGCACACTTGGGTTGAGTCCTTGAACATTAACCAGCTGCAGAACTTGGGCAAATGATTAGCTTCTGCAAACTCAATTTCACCAGCTCTAAAATGGGGATAATAATTATACTCACCTCACCAGTTGTGATAAGGATTAAAAGATATACTGTTAGGGGCTGGGGGGTGTAACTCAGTGGTGGAACATTTGCCTTGCATGCACAAGGCTCTGGGTTCAATCCACAGAAACATAGAAAAGAAAAAAAAAGGTATAACTCACTTAGCCCATTGACTGCTATTATAATTTTATGTTTATGTTATAAAAATTACAGACACCATTTAGCCTTCTTATTCTAGTCTAGATTGGCTTCTCTTGGCTCTATTTATCTCCTTGTCTGTCATTAATATTCTGCTTTGCTTCCTAGAGTCAGTGCTTTGAATAGTCAAATAGAGTTGCTCATTGATATTGCATCTGTTTTTATCCATCTATTCTCAGGTTTTTATCCTGAATCCTATTATTGTGCTGGAAAATATACTCAATTGGTGGGAGAGATGTCTCCATAATACCTTTATTCTTTTTTTAAAAAAAAAACATGATGTCATTTTAAACATCTTTGTTTGTTCATTTTTATCTGGTGCTGGGGATTGAACCCAGTGCCTCACGCATACTAGACAAGTACTGTACCACTGAGCCACAACCCCAACCCAACATCTTTATTCTTGGGGAATAATGTTGTGTTTTTCCTTCTAGTTGAACACGGACAGGCTTTCTCAATCAGCAGGCCTAGTCATTTAGCTGGGAGATATACCTGGGGTCTGATCTCTCTGGGACTCTAGCTCATGCATGGAGAACCAATAGACTGATTCTTGTTTCTGAAATATTTCCTTCATCAAAGATAGCTTGCTGAGGAACTTGGGGACATGGGAACCATGTGCTTCAGGTCAAATGAGGCCTTGACTTTGCAGACATTAATTCTTTGAAGGACTTAAAAGAGATACAAGATTTGGTCCCTGCCTCAGGAAGCAAAAACAATTTGGCTGGGGAGATCAGATTCACATTAATTAAATAACTAGAGAAAGTTGTATTTAAAAATGCTTGATTTAAAATCAAGCTCCTATCCCATGACTTCTGCTTTTTGAAGATGGTAAATATTGAGTATTGAAGGGCGGAATCATGCAGGCAGTAGGAGCCCAGGGAGACCTTGAAGGAAGGAGAGATTGGAATGGACAGGTGTGAGCTTCAGGGCTCAGGGAGTGGCGAGGGTACAGGCCAGGAGGGGGCAAAAAACAGGAATACCACAGGGAGACAGAAAAGAGAGGAGGGGGTCTTCCTGCTGGTGGGCAGCATGTGTCATGGGAGGACAGCCACAGAGCTTGTATGGGAACCTATATCAAAGGGGCTCAAATGGGACCCGGAGGAGGGAGGATTGGCCAAAAATCAGCCTTTGGGGAGAATCCTGACACTAAGGATGTTTGTTTCATCACGGGGTCACTGTTAAATGGCAAAGTGTGTACCCCTGCTTTGGGGAAGGGGTGATCAGAATTTCATTGTAGAATATTGTTTTGGGATTGTGAGGCTGTACATTTTGTGTCTTCCATGTTTAGGGATGTTGGCATTAGCATGTCTATATTAGTTTCCTGTGGCTGCTAAGACGAACTACCACAAACTGGGTGGCTTAAAAACAACAGAAATGTATTCTCTCCCAGTCTGGAGGCCTGAGGTCTGAAATGAAGCAGTGAGCAGGGCCGTACTCCCTCCAAAGTCTCTGGCAAAGGATCTGCTCTTGGCCCCTTCCACCTCTGTGCTTGCCTGCTACCTTGGCTTGGGGCTACCATCACTTCAATGTCTGCCTCCTTCTTTACATAGCTTTCTCCCCTGTGCATGTGTCTCCTCTTCTGTCTTTTCTGAGGACACACAGCAGTGGATATAGGGCCAACCTAAGGAGTCTAAAATGATCTCATCTCAGGAGCCACAACTTAATTACATCTGCAAGGACTCTGTTTACAAATGAGGGCACACTGGTAGTCTGCAGAGATCAGAGTGTGGAAGAATCTTTGGGGGCCATCATCCAGCATGTTCTCTGAAGATACAGTGTAGAGGAAGGAGACAGACCTAGCCCTCAGTGGAGAGGGCACCACCAGGCATGTGTTCTGGATGAGTGGCATCACACACTTTCACCTGTGACTTGTCCACACAGCCACTTTTACCTGTTAAACTCAGCCTGTATATGCCTGGTGTGCCAAGCATTGTGCTCACATAATTATCTTCTCAAAGCACCACAAAGGAGTGAGGAAGAGTTTCTTCTCCACAGCTTTCACATAGGGTGGCTGAGTACCTACAGTACTCAGCCTGGACTCAAGGGACCTGCTCTGAGCCTCTTCAGTCCTTTTATTCCATTTGTCTGCATTAGCAGACTTTCTTTTGTTGTCCCTAGCATTCACTCTCTGGCTATCATTCATCTTTAATGCAAACCAGTGCTCCCAGCAGCACAGTCTTCCAGTGCATGGGGTAAGTGTCTGAGTAACAGCCCAGGAACAGAAGGCTTTAATGTCATTCAAGAAATTGGACAGGGATTTTGGAGCACCTGAGTGTCTAAGGCCAGATGAAACCAGTAGCAGAGCTAAAAGGTGAAGCTCATGAATTTCAGAGCCTCCACCTGCCTTAATCTTGGTTGTGCCTTTTACTTCCTATGGGACTCTGAACAAGTCACTTCAGCTCTCTGTGCCTCAGTGACCTTATCTGTAAAATGGGGACCATGGTGGTATTTCCTTCTTGGATTTTTTAAATGGAGGTCAGTGCATATCTCCGTGTGTGCCCAGGTGTGGCGATATATACGTAAAATGCCGATAATGGTTCTTAGCACCTAGTAAGTAGTACTATGTGCTATTTGCTTACAAAAACAAAAACAAAAACAAACAGCCCCACAGAACATATGGCTCTTCCTTCTATGCCTGTGCTCATGAATCACTGGAGCTGGAGACCTATGTGATATTACAGGCTCCTCAGCAAGAATGTGGAGCCCTTGAAAAATCAAAGGAGTGAACCCAGGCCATGCTAAGCATTCACTGTTGGAATAGGATCCCACTCAAAGCCTGCTGCCCAGCCAAGATGTTTGCTTATGAAAATACACAAAGGGTGGGATGCATGGTGTCTAGGGCAGCCTTATATTCTGGTTCTCAGTGCAGCCAGGAGCCCAAGGGCACCTTCACCCACCTGAGGACCTGACAGGAGGGTGAGGTGCTGCCACTGTGACGTGGGCTCAGATGGGATTGTTACAGCAAGACACAGGGCACACTCCACTCACAGCCTATTGTTTTCCCTACAGGCTGATGCTGCTACCAGCTTTCTGAGGGCAGCACGATCAGGTAACTTGGACAAAGCTTTGGATCATCTGCGGAATGGGGTGGATATTAACACCTGTAACCAGGTAAGTGAGACGGAGGGTCACTCTTCCCTGGTGTTGTTTCTTGAAAGCTTTTGAGATCTCAAAAACCCCCAGGGGCTCTGCATGCTGTAGCCCCTGACCTTGTGGAGACATCTCTGGCTGCTGAGGCTGAGCCCCAGTGAGAAGGGCTGCTTCCTGACAGGTGGGAGTGACACCCACCCTGGATCCCCAGGGGCCTCTTTCCCTAGTAGCTGATTCCTGCTGTTGTCTTAAAATCTGTGGCCTTTGAAAGTGGGCAGGAGGAAGGGCCTTTGAAGGAGGTTGTATTAGTGGTAAGGTTAAATCGCTTTTTGACCATCAGTGACCTTTATGGGTTTTCAGCTGGGCGGAGAAGAAAGGTGAGGGAGGATCTGTCAGGTGTTGAGGAAGGCACATCTGAGGAGGACTCCAAAGCTTCTTTCACAGAGAAGAAAGAAGCTTCGGGAAAGAGGACAGGTGAGGGATTTGGGCTCATGGATTGGTGACTTGTTTTGGTTTTTGGTTTGTTGGTGCTTGTCAGCCAACTGAGTGATTCAGGTGCGCCTGCAAGTTCAGTTTCTCGTTTAGAATACACTGGCCAACAGCGACTCCTCTTATTTTTACCATAGTCATTCTTTTAGAACTTGCTTTTAATGGTAGTTAAATGTAACATAGAGATTACCCTCTTAGCCATTTGTAAGTACAGTTGGGTCATGTTGAGTGCATTCACAGTGTTATAGGCCACCACCAGCATTCCTTCCTAGAACCCTTCGTATCTTGCCAAACTGAAACTTGCCAAACTGTCCCCATTAAACAACCCCCCATTTCCCGACTCCCCAGCCCCTTCTACTCTCAGAGCCTATGAATTTGAGAAATCTAGGGACCTTGGAGGAACAGAATAGTACAGCATTGTCCTTTTGTGACCTACTGCTTTACCTTGCACAGTGTCCTCTGGTGCGTCTGTGTTGTAGAGGCTGCATGACTTTTGCAAGACAGCGAGGACAAATTTTCTGCCCAAGACAGGTTAAGTTTTCCATGGGCTACATTCCTCTGTCCCCTGCCCTCCTCATCCTCACTTCCCTGCCACTCCCAGCTCTGCTGCAAATGCAAAATACTGCTTGCGCTCTCTCCCAGGGCCAAGACCCCATTTGGAGTTGCTTGATGGCACAATTTCATAGCTAAAAGATCAGAGAGGAGCTGGGCATGGTGGCACATGCCTATAATCCCAGTGGATCAGGAGGCTGAGACAGGAGGATCTCAAAGATAGCCTCAGCAACTTAAGCAACTCAGTGAGACCCTGTTTCTAAATAAAATATTAAAAAGGGCTGGGGAGGTGGCTCAGTGGTATAGTGCCCCTGGGTTCAATCCCTGGAACCCCTCCCCCACAAAAAATCAGAGAGGACAGAGTGGGTGGGGTACCTGACAGAAAACTAGGAAACAGAGGGAAATGCAAAACCCATGGCAGTGAACTTCAGAGGGGAGCAGAAGACAATGCAAACTGGATGAGGAGAAGGCAGCCCTCCTCCCCTCCTTTCATCCCTCCACCCTGAACACCTAACCCTACACATCCCAGACCTATGGATGTCGGTGATTCTAACCAAACACCAGACCCTGAGTTGAAGGTTGGCCCTTGGGTGGCAGAAGGGAACTCTGAACTCATTGCTTTGGTGGAAAGAGGTGGAAGAAGGAAAGTAACAGGACAGGCTGAGAGTCCTGGAGGAGAGTGGCTCAGGAGAGGGGGCTTAGACACCTCTTAACACCACCCCCCAGAAGCAGGTGCACAAGCTCATTCATGTTGTTCCCAGCACCCCCCCCCACACACACCCAGCCCAGGTGAGGGCTGCTCTCCTGTGGCCTACGTTGCTGGGCCGGGCTGTGTGAGTTCTGAGGTTTTCCATGCTGTGGCCAGAGAGATGCAGCTGGATGTTTCTCTGCAGTGCAGTTCCTGGTGGAAGCCACTCAGTCCTTCGGAGGCCTTCCAAGGGTTAAGATTCCAGCTCTCAAAGGAATCCATTTAGCCGAAATGGGGACAACTGAACGTTCATAAAACTTGAGCCAGGGCTCATTTTCTGTGTGAAATTGGAAGATTTTGATGACATCCGGGGAATGGCTTTGTCCTGATTGGTCTCCTATTGGGTGTAACTGCCTCATCCCTCGGTCTTCTCTCCTTAGAGGACCTCCTTGGTTCATTTCGGGCTCAGAGAGCAGCAGGCACCGAGGCATTATTTGCACTTTATTGACACAATTTCTGATGGGCTCAGCGCCAGTGACAAGTTGCAATTCTCCCTGCTAGACACTGATAGGGGCGGGGGAGGACTTCAGCCTGGAGACCGCAGTCTTGGCTCTGACAAGCCTCTTTCTTTCAAAGAAGATGCTGCTGCAAGAAAGGAAATGGATGGCAGAGAGGAGTCAAAGGAAAACCCACCCCAGGGCTAAGCCCCTGGCTGTGGGCTTGTTCCTGAGGCTGTTTCGTCCCCTGCTCCCCACATTTGGGCCCTAGTGGCTTGTGTCTTAGGTCCATGACTGTGCAGTGACAGGCAGCTGCAGATGGGCTGCACCTGGAAAGGAGCTGGTCATGTTGCCTGAGCTCGCCCTGGTTGTATAGAGGATGATTTGGTTTGTGCTTTAGAAGGGAGAGGACAGGCAGTGGGGGAAGGGCTGTTTCCGAATTTGTGCCCTCATTGGGCACATTAGAGCCCCCATGGGGACCATGCCGCTTCTTTATAATGTTCACAGGGCTGGCCTCCTAATGGTACTAGAGCTTTCTCCTCTGTAAAACATGCATTCATTGTTTTGAGAAGATAAAAACAGGCTCTTGTCCTGGGGTCACGGCTTGGGAATTTGCTTTCTGCTGGAATCTTTTGAGCTGATGGGCCACGGAGCAGGGGCACAACCTGCACTCCTCCTTATGTAAGCAACGCTTCCAGATAGTACGCGGAGGGGGAAGAATGAGTGCTGCTTGCCGTCAGAGGAAGTAATTACTCTAAGGAGGGTAGGAGAGGAGCTCTGGGCTTATATAAGAGGCATTAGAATATTCAGGGCAGCTTCCTTATTGCAGGGATCATATCTGTTAATTTTTACCATTATCATCACTATTCTGTTTATGGAGCAGAACAAATTCAGGCCTAAGAACACACACACATGTACACACACCTACACCAGAGCATTTATGTGGATTCCTGTTTGTTTGTTTGTTTTAGTGCATTTAAGCATCATTCAAGCTTCAGGCCCCTGCATCCAATGTCTTCCTATTCATCTCCAGGTTTACAAGGAGTGCTGGGCTGTAGGTATTTAAGAGCAAAATAAGTCATAGGCCTCAGCCTCTTTGAACTCTAGGCTAGTGGCAGTAAGAGCTGTTCATCAAATAAACAGAAATAGAGGTGTGACCCCAAAACTATTGTCATGAAAGAAAACCCTAGAATATTCTGAGACTAGGTAAGAGGTCTGGCCTGGAGATCAGGAAATGCTACCATGAGCAAGACGCAGTGGAACTGAAGGATGAGCAGGGCTTAATGAGGTGAAGGAAGGGAAGAATATTCCAGTCATGGAGAACAGCCTGAGCAAAGTCCTGGAGGCAGAAAAAAAGAGTGGAGTGTTTAAGGAAGGCCAGGATAGGGCAAGTGCAGAGAGCAGGAGGTCCCAGGTGAGGTAAAGCTGGGATGGAGCTGGAACTTAACAGGCCAGGGTAAGAGCGCAACATTCAGCAACTGGGACAGCATGCCCTAGGCCCGAATGGTATGTGTGCACACACGTATATATGCATTGTGTGGTGTGTGTGTGTTTACATACTGCTCCAGATATAACCCTGGAGTTGCTCATGGAGGGGGAGGGATTTGAAGAAGGGGTCAGAGTGGCCAGAGCAGCAGATGGGAGAGGTACCTAAGAGCTTGAGGCAGTGGCTGCAGGCTAAGCAGAAGGGAGGCATTTCAGCAACCCTGTTAGTGTGTCCTGTTTAACTATCTCCCCAGCTTTCAGAAGCCATGTGAAGGATTCTGGTCTTTATCCTGGGAGCAGTGGAAAGTGAATGGTGGATTCCAGCAGGGGAGTGCCAGGCTCAGAAGTGTGCTTTAAAGAATCGCACAGGCTACAGTGTAGAAGACAGATGGAGAGTGCAAGGTGACTGTAGGGAGGCCAGTCATGAGACTATTGCAGTAGCCCAGGAGGAAAATGTCAGTAGCTTGGATATGAGCTGTGGCTGTAGAGATGGAGCAAAGCCAGCAGGTCTGGGCAGTGAACTGGCTGGGGGAGAACAGGGAAGGAAATCCCAGAATGATCCTCAGGGTCTGGTTTGTGCAGTGGGTGGATGGTGTCACCAACTACTGAGAAAAGGAATGCTGAATGCCGACAGAAACCTGGAAACAGAGTGAAGGGTCAGGAAATGAACAGCGTGGAGATCCTGGTGAGTAGATCTGTGGAATCTCAATGGAGACATATAGTAAGTAATTGGACATTTGAGCCGGAACTCAGATAAGAGGTCCAGCCCAAAGATAGTATTTGGAAGTCACTCAGCATTCGAGGAAGTCAAATGCTGGCATTGGCTGGTGCAAACAGGGATGAGAGGCATGTAAAATACAATCCCACTCGTGTCTTTGTGGGGTAATTCCACATATATTTATTAAACAACTGCTGTATGCCAGATTCTATTCTAGACATTGAACAAGCTAGACAGAATAGACAGTCTGTGCTCTTGACATTTGTCTGTGGGTGTAGAAGACAGACACTCACCAAGAAAATGGACAAATATGTAATGTCAGCTGATGAGAAATTACCATGGAGGAGAAAGAAGTAAGGGAGAGGACTGTGTGGTTTCTGGGGAATAGCATACCTGGAAGAAGGGGAAACATATGCAAAGGCCCTGGGGCTGAATAAGCTTGGTTTGTGTGGAAAGCAGCAACAGGACCATGAGGTGGAGTGAAAGACCCAAGGGAAAAGTGGTTAGGCAAGGAGATGGGGGAAATGACAAGGGCCAGATCAGGAAGGGCTTGCAGGCAGTGGTGAGGACGTGGACTTTGTTCCAAGGGTAA